CTCAGAAATGTTACCTCGGCTCTAGTCAGCAGGTTGTTTATTGGTACAGATAGGCAGTCATTCCTTTCAAGCTTCCATGATTTGTTGGAGCACTTGTAAATTTGATTGCCTTGGGTAAAACCGTCTGGATTATTTAAATCACAGCATGGCTTTATTAATGTGGCCCCTTCAATTCCAATGCCAAAGCTATCTGAGCAGGAAACTTCCTTATCTGTATTGAGAAAAAGACATAGAAGTAGAGAACAAAGAAGCAGGGAGATGAATAATTTACCCTCATCAAACCTGTGATGTCCTGAAATTCAGAGGTTTTTAAATTAGTTAGGATTTCAGCTTGCTGTCTTCATTAATAATCAAATGATGTTTCAGGGTGTATATGTCTTGCATAGTGTGTCCAGAGAAGAGCAACAAAGGTGGTGAGGGGCCTGGAGAACAAGTCTTATGAGGAGCAGCTGAGGGAGCTGGGGGTGTTTAGTCTGGAGAAGAGGAGGCTGAGGGGAGACCTGATTGCTCTCTACAACTACCTGAAAGGAGGTTGTAGCGAGGTGGGGGTTGGTCTCCTCTCCCCAGTAACTAGCGATAGGACAAGAGGAAACGGTCTTAAGTTGCACCAGGGGAGGTTCAGGTTGGATATTAGGAAGAACTTCTTCACTGTAAGAGTCGTTAGGCATTGGAACGGGCTCCCCAGGGACGTGGTGGACTCACCATCCCTGGAGGGGTTCAAAAAAATGTTTAGGTGTGGCACTTCAAGACATGGTTTAGTGGGCATGATGGCATCAGGTATACGGTTGGACTTGATGATCTTTGAGATCTCTTCCAACCATAATGATTCTGTGATTCTATGATTCTATGATTCCCAATTTTTTTAAATCATGAAATTAAAAAGGAAATTTATTAAAACCCCTTGTTTTTGAGTACTGAATCAAGTTAACAAACCAATACCCAAAGTTGTAGGATTTGTCTGTTAGACTACAGGGTTAGATAGCGGTGGAGTGGTTTATATTGACCACAGTGTGAGTAGTAATTCACACAAAGTTTATTCTAAGGGACTCAGTGCTGCTGTAGCACTAATAGGAAATTCATTAAGACCTTGATAGTGAGGCCTCAACATCTTTTTGATGAACAGTGAGTCTTGCTAATTGGCTTTGATTGAGTTAGTCATATCAGTAAGTATCTGCTGATTAAAGTAAATGAAATGTCTGCTTATATATTGCCTGAGTGAGTGAAATCTGGCCAGATACACTGATTCAACAGTAGGCACCACTACTGTGGAAAAAATAAAAATTCTGCATTATGGTGATTTTGAACATTTATTTCTTTTCAATGTAGAATAAGAAGCTGAAATATCCAATCTCTGGTCAGAACTAAACATCAAAACTGGATTTAGCAATGTTGAATTCTAATTACCCAGCATTTCCTGCAATGCTGACTGGAAGCTGGGTCTGCCCAAGTCTCTGCAACACCTCATGGAAGTTACCATTCTTGTGTTTAATGGGTATGGTCTCCCACAGGCCGACCTCCTGAGCTAGGCGACTTCCTCCTGAGGCACCGCAATCTTTTGTCTTTGCTAAATTGTTGGTGCAAGCTGGGAGCTGCGTGACCACATTTCAACACAGGAGACGAAGCCTGGTGGTGCAGGCTGCACCAGAAGGAGGTAGGGACAGAAGATGACTGAACTATAACTGCTTGGGAACATACTGGAGCCACTGTCAAATACAGTGAAGATAAAACATCTTGTCTATTTATTTTTTAAAATTACAGCAAAATTGATATTTCCCTCCGTATTTCAAAATTTCCCATCGTAAAAGGAGACAGAAATTCTTGACTAACAAAACCTGCTCCTGTTAGGTGTCATCAGTGATAAATTTGTGGCATCTGATTTAACAAAGATACTGGGATTTCCTATTTAACAGCTTTCAATAGTAACTTTTTTCTTACCAGGTATCAGGTGCAGTCGTATACTTTCACTGTTGACTTCCTGTCCAATGCGGTTAATAAACTTGCAGTATGCTGTGAGCTCTTTCTCTTTGCTGCATTCTGTTTCTGTGTAATTGTACATGTAGCAAAATAAATTTCCTTTTTTCTTTTTCCCTGTATGGAACGATTAAGATAGGTTAAGATCTGGGCTCAATCAGACAGCAGAAAACTTCTGCAAAAGTTTCTTTTCTGTGGGTCCTAGAGAAAAAAACTTCCTTTGTGGAAAAACTTCCTTTCTGTGTGCTGATCTCTGTCTCTTACTCCCCACTTCATAAATCTTCTGGCAGCTGCTGCATGATCACTACCTTTTCAATTACTGGTGTACGAGGAAATCCTGCACAAATGCTCTTTTACTGTGCAGGAACCAAAATTTTCTTTAGAAACCATTTTGGAGAATACTCTTCCTGCTTCTGCTTCTACCACAGGGGTTTCATCTAGGCTAGGATAATTTTTTGCTGTTCTTACATGTTTCTTTTAAACTGAGGATCTGCATCACACTCCCATTTCTTTTCAGTATGCCTGTGCCTGAGGGTCCCTGACTGCAATCTCTTCCAAGAAGATCTTGACATTTTTCTTAGCAACCAAAAGACCCCTCAGTCTCCACCTGCTTTACACTTCAGTCTGTTGGTTTTGCACTCCTGCATGTTTTCTAAGTTACTTTAGGTGGATCTTCTTTGCTGTGATCAAATTAACTGTTCTGTAACCCACTTGAAGACTTCTAGTATATAAAAAAATGGCAGGGAAGTTGGAGAATTGCCCTAAATTTGAAGACATAGAAGCTTAGGCTTTTGTGCTGTTAATGATATGTTACCTGTACCCTTGAAGAAAATAGAATGGTTCTTTGAATTGCATTCTTAGTGTGTCATTCTACATTTTTTATGAATTAGTAGATCTTCTTAAGTAACATTTCCTCAATACTCAATTCAAAAAAGTGGCAGAGTGGAAGATAAAAGCAAATAAATGGAGTTCAGCAACTTCTAATCTGGACAATGGAGATAAAAGCAAATAAATGGAGTTCAGCAATTTCTAATCTGAACAACGATGAGGATGCTCACTTCTCACTGCATGGCAAGGCAAACCAGACATGGAATTTACCTATTCCATACTTATCACTATAGCAGTGATTTCAAGTGCTCTTCTATTAATCTGGGCCATGCTCCCCAGGCATGGCAACCATCCTAAAAAAAGTCCATTTCCCTTTTTTTACACTCTCAGGAGTACTTGTGGGTTGTCGTAATAGCAGTAAGTATGAATTGGTTACACAGACCTAACTGAAAATGAAAAAAACCAGGGACAGGATTCTGACACATAGTGCAACAAATGATTCTGCAAGTTTATTTTTTCTTACCAACTTGAAATTCATTTTGTTGAACCATAAATGTGACACTGTAATCTTCCACGGTGTTAGCACTTATGCAGCACTGGAGGGCTTGTTGCACTTTGCACTGTATAGAAGCTGCAATGGGGTCTATCAGGATGTTCTGCTTTAGAGGCAAGGAAATAACCTCGATTGTCACATTGGCAGAACTCTCCAAGTACTTCTGGGAGAATGTGCAGATGTAGGTGCCTGAAAGAAATGTCACAAAATACATGTCTCAGTCAACAGAAGTGCGCCTCAACTTTTGCATGGTCATGAGCCCTAATACTGAACAAGTACAGTGCTGTTGGCACCAGCATGTCTTGCTGTCTTCGAGCAGTTATAATTTTAGCTCTTTTTTTTTTTATTTATTTACTGTAGCCAGTTTTCACCTGTTGGCACCAGCATGTCTTGCTGTCTTCAAGCAGTTATAATTTTAGCTCTTTTTTTTTATTTATTTACTGTGACCAGTTTTCATAGTGATTTGCAGGGCTAGGGATGCTGTAAATGATCTGATACGGAGATTTCATTGCCTTTGTACGCAATACAAACCATGTTTACCCACCGTTCCAGTCTTGTGTGGCAGTCTGCACTGTGAGCATAGATGTGGCTGGAAATTTGCTATTTTTGATGCATGTATCACAGTCTACTGTTTTTGTGTTGTTTCCAGACTGGATTTTCCAACTGATACTGTCATAATTGCTCACATCACTTTCACACGTTAGATTGAATGCATATCCCTCGGAAACTGATGAGTTTATGCTTGAAGATATTGTTACATGGGCTGAGACAACACAAGATAAGAGTCATATTATTCAGAGTCACTTGTTATAATAATTTGCTTGCAAATGACATGTGCCACAGAGGCCATCTAAACGTTAAAGAGCTGATGGTCTGTTACACGCTACGCAACTCTTACCTATCCGGAGGTACGTCACTGTGATGTTCCGACTATACTTGGCACCGTGTCCAGTCTGCAGCTCACATGTATATATTGTCACTGTACCTGACTTCTCCGGTGGGCATAGTGATTCATCAACGTTGAGCCTGTATTCAGTGCAGTTTTCACTGAAACTAGAGACTCCTAGAGAGAAATGAACATTCCTTGAAGGGCTATGGATGTCCCAAAATACCTGGGCTCTGGAAATCACAAGCGATCACTCTAGGTAAGGAAAACCTTGTGGGTTTGTATGCAACCTTTGACAGCATGGCACTTTTAACTCGTCATTGCTGAAGTTCATTAACATCTTTTACTCTGACAATACTCACAATGGTTTTCCAAAGGCCTGAAGTCATCTCTCAGCACAGTGCTGGGCACCTACTGCCAAAACCAGTCTGAGAGCAACAGCGTTGCTTGGATACCTCAAAATAAGCCAAAATTAGGAGTATTCTGGTTCAGCCTAACCTCATTATATGCAATATTTAGGATGACTAAGATAAGTAAAACAGGAGCAAATACTGCAGATTTTAATATCTTATTTTGAAATAAACGTCTGGAGGTACTTGACAGTCATTCAACGTTAAATCTGAAGAGTGCTGGTTTAGCTATCAGGGGGAAACCCCACTAAAGCTGTCCCATGCTGCAGCTGAAAGTGCATCTGGCACGAGAGCAGAGTGCCCGGGGGAAAATCCGGCCACAGGGAATTGAGGGCAAAACAGATCATTAATGTAGTCCAAGATCACCCCTCTCTCTGCAAGCACTACTGCACACCAGTACTTCTCCTCTGTGAAAATGACTGTGCACATGACCTTTGAAGGTTTTCTCTCATTTTACTGTCCTGCTTTCTGCTAAACTTCATTTATAACAAATGGTTAACGATAAAGAGTTAATCCATAACCATAAAATATTGAGGGCAATAGACACTGTTCATAGATATTTATGAGCCTTTCTATTGATGTTATTTTGTAACTCTTTGTAAACACTTTTATTCGATGCTGTATTAACTCTTTATATTCATATAATAAGTAAAACCTTGTGAGATGCCACTAACTCAACTAGCAGGTGATGTATCATAGCTACAGGTGGAGAGGGAGACTGTGCACTCAGTATTTAGTGATGTGGTGGCTGTTTCAAATTGTAGCACCTGTCTCTCTTGGTTGCCAAATCTGGGTGTGTGGTACACAGAAGCTTTTCATGCCCTAAGGGTGATTCTGAAGATGGTAGTAGAGACTGATGCACTCATCCTTGCTCTCAAAACTAGACAACGCAAAAATAAGCTTTCTGGACAAAGTTGGTATGATGATGGTCCAGGCCACTGTTTCCATTCAGGATGGAACAGTTTTAAGTATCAATGTCTGCACAGTGCACAGAGATGCACAGAATCCCACTGGCACCTGCACAGCACATATGGAGTCTGTACCATGCTGTCCATCCATCATTCTTACCCACACACACACATCTTTGGAGCATGCCCTATATTCATCCTAGGACTTGGCCTTTGGAGTAGACAATTTGGAGGAAATCTTTGAAGAATGAACAAACCTAGCAGATGAAAGACAATCTTTTGTTAATCTTACCTGTAATATTGATTGCTCCATTTACTTTCCAGTCTGGAATAAGTGATGGTAAGTGTCCATCAATACAACAGGACAGCAGAGGACTGTTTGTCTGCATTTCAGGACTGTTGCATGTAACACTGATGTCGTTTAAGTTTGCAGTGATGTTTAGCAGAGAGACTGCTATTATTTTTGTGGCCTTGTATATCAGTGTGTAAAACCGATTGCTGTTTGTGAAAGTGCACCTATAGGAACCTGTAAAGCATAGGCAATATCTTAGCATTGAGAACACATTTTGCTGTTTTTTTCCTCTACATTTGGAATTAGGAGCTGGGAGTTACTTCCACACCTAGTCTTCATGTCTCCCTGCTCTGCAGTGGCTCTGCTACTTTGCTAATCAAAATGTACCCTCAGGTCATCTGCACTATGCTTTCTGCAGGCTCTTGGTGCTAAATGTAACCAGATTAGGCAGCTTCATTGTTGATGGGTACTTCAGAAGAGACAAGCACTCTGAGACTGATATTCTTGAAATCTGGCTGAGTTGGGGTTTTGGGGATCTGTATATTGCCCATGTGGCAGCAATATGTCATGGCAAGAACGTAGACTGGCAGTGCAAAAGGTTCCTACACAGAATGGGTGAGAGGGAGGTGCCCAGGGTGGACTCCACAAGAGCTGGCACTCTGAGTGTAGGCACATACACTGCTCAGAAGGTATTGCCAAAGAGTACAGAGTATTTATCAGCCACTTTCTCAGGCACTTGTCCCCCTGGATGCAGCCAGGCTTCCGTTTGAAATTAGCAATCAGGGCTCCAAACTTCCTTCATACTTTAGGTATGTGGGATTCCCATCCCCATTGGGATACATAAGTGAGTAGGCCACTTACGTAGGAGAGGAGACACCAACAGTCATCGCATTCTTAGCCCAAAGAAGTTTGGACCCATGACTCCTACCTCGCATATGTGTGCCCAAATACCTGGTCACAGACTACTCTTTTTGAAGTTGAATGTAAAATTCACTCTCCAAAGAGAAGAACTGAGTGGGAGCTTGAGTCAAAGCTCTGATAATACATGATAATTCCCCTGATAACTTCTCCCAGCAAAATGGCACCCTCATTTTCAAAAACGTGAACACATGAAAAACTGTAATTCTGAGCTCTGACTAGTTAGGTTATGTTTGCAGAGGTGGCAAGGGCCATCAAGGATAACTTTAACCACAGCCTCAAGTGACTACACCAAAAGGGTGGGAATGCCTCACAGCCATGCGGTCACCACTGTCTCCTGTGAAATGGCAGTGAAGCCTGACACCAAGAATACCCAGACCTGTATAGTCACTTCAGTTAGTTCACATCTTACTGGCAATGCCAGCCAGTACGTAGTTCATTAAAGAAAAAAAAAAAACAAAACAAAAACTGGAAAATTATGAGGGACAGTGTATTCTTCACATTTACTGTAGGAAAAAGCAGTCACTGCATTCCTCTTTGCTTTTTATAGAACTAGCCACACTGGAGATTTACATCTGCTGTTATAACAATAGAGAATCTTACCAGAATCCTTCATTGTAATGTTGACAATTTTAAGAATTGACCTTGAGGTTCTCCTTGAAACATATTTCTTCATCGAATACCGGAAGCTGGTTGAGATGATCTGATCGAAGTGATACCAGGTCACATTCTCAGATGTTGAATTTATCTCACAAATCAGTTTTACTGTATCCCCTTCAAAAATGTCTACAGGATTCACAGTGAAGCTTGTCTGATCTGGGAAGACAAAGAGCAACATTCTGCATTATTGTCATTTCAGCTCACATCTATATGGTGTCTTTCATCTCATGGGAATCCTAGGTGCTTCACAACTAACACACACTCAGCATGATTTGCAGGGCACTACCTCTGATACAAGCTGTGCAATTTTTCCACGACATATTCTACCACTATCTTTGTCAGCCAAAGATCCCAGAAGGTTGTATGCATAGAACCAGAAATATTATCACCACCACTACTCTTTAAGTAGATAAACTGGGAGGAGAAGCAGTCAGGTTAAAGTAATCCTCTGAGATAGACAGTCCAGTGCTCAGCACACTGAGAGTACAGCACCTCTGGGGCACTTATCAGGCAACTGAATTGTAACTCACTGTCCAGCAGCAGCATGGAATATGTGCCAAGGAAGCCAGGGGGAAACTGTTCTTGTGTAAACTGCAAGAGCTTTTTGTTTTGTTTGAAGACGTGGGAAATGCTGGCAGCCTGATATGCTAAGAGCTGTCTCAGTTCTGGAAGTGAACTTAAGGGTATTCAATCTTTCTCCCATGGAGAGACTGCATCAGGGTTCAGTAGAGTAGCTGGAAGGATTTGGTTTTCTGTGGGAGGTACTGTGTGCGTGGTAGTCTCATGTAAGTGCTAATCTTTAGTGGCACAGAATGAAATGAAACAGCCAGAGAAATAAATGTTTTTGAAGGTCTAGTAGCAAATTATTAACAGTATAAGGCAGCTACATGGTTCAGGCTAGAAATACTAAAGTAAATGTTGAAGGAAAATAGTGAGAGAGCTTTAAACTTACTAGTCATCTCTGTTATGAAGGTAGCTTGGTTTAGCTGGTACCATGCATCTAGATATTGTGGTACAATTTTGTTGGCATTTGCTATCTGATCGAAGCTTGCTGCTCCTGCTTTTACTTCGTAGTTGACAAAAACACTTCCAGGCCTAAACAGATACAAGAGGTACCAGAATTAAATATCCTTGCGTGTTAGTGGTTTTATATGTTGTGGTGACCCATCTTGCATGGCTAGGAGAGCTTTACAGGGGTCACCTGTGAAGGCTCCTGTTGTGACTCAAGACTTGCTCTGGTATACAAGAAGGTTGTGCTACAGCTCTTCCCAAAGTAAGAACACTTTTATGTGGCATCTCCTTCGTCTGCTGTCTATTTCTAGTAAACCTCCCTTAGAAAACCTAAAATACAGCTGCATTTAAATATGTGTGGACCTAAGTAATATCTCTCTTTTCCAGATCCAGTGTTATATCTAGAGTCAATGTACTAATTCATCTTTCTGATGACCTAGCAAATGATGTTAGGTTTGCTCACATCCTTTTCCCCTTTTGGGTGGAATTCAGTCTTGCTGACAAACGGCTTTGATCCAGATGGAGAATGATTATGGTTCTTGGACTTTTGCACAATAATGAATTTTACCCGCAATCACATTTCTGTGATGTTAACATATTATATTTCTATGATATTAACATTTGTATGTTAATAGTTGGGCTTTCCTTTGCAGCTATTATACTGTTATTCAGTATGTATATACTGGGCTTGAGTTCTAGCCAGAGTCAAGGTAGTCTTTGCTGACCAGCATCTCCTTGAGACAGGACAGAAAGATTTGTATCTTCCAGGAAAAAATAAAATTGTTTACCTACCTGAAACCAGTTACTGTTGCCGATACAAAGCCTGGTAAACATCTGTAGCTAGCATTAAACTGTAAACAAAGACATATTACATCAGTCCTCTATATATTATTCTAGCATGCTTAAAATAGGAAACTCTCCATTCAACGTTGATACGAGTAAGGGCATGTAGCCTATCTGATAGAATGGGCCTGGTGCTCTCCCCGCTGTCATGAGATAAATTTGTGTTGATGGTTTTATTCTATGTGTCCTCATGTGCATTTAAGATGGGACCACTAATGCAATTTTTTTTTATATACTTTTGATGCAAAAGTTTCCTAAATAGTTCCCTGTCGGCCAGCATATTAAAATGAATGGGAATATTGTCATTGCCTTTCAATGCCTTTGAAGCTTTGGCCCACTTTGTAGCTACCACTGCTGCATAGTTCACAGCTCCCCACAGAGTCAGTTACAGTGCACCTAGATGCTAGGGTAAATACCATATTTCTTAGAGGGCTTTCTACCTTCAGAGATGGAAAACTAAAGTCCTTACCGCTTTTTCAAGGTCAGCTTTGTATTTTTTGTATAGTTCAGAAGAAGGATCCCTGAGATCATCCCAAAAGTCTGTGTCAAGTTTGACTGACATATTCATTACAATGGGGTCTCCCATACCACATGAGTCTGTAAGGGAAAACATAAAAATAAATGTAATAATCATCAAAAACAGTGCTTACAAAGTGATTCTTAGCTTTTTCTTAATCATAGAATCTTAGAATCATATAATGGTTTGTGTTGGAAGGGACCTTTAAAGATCATCAAGTCCAATCCCACTGCCATGGGCAGGGACTTCCAACCTGATCTTGAACACTTCCAATGATGGAGCATCCACAATTTATCTGGGCAACCTGTTCCAGTGTTTCACCACCTTCATCGTAAAAAATTTCTTCCTTATGTCCAACCTAAACCAACCCTCTTTCAGTTTAAAACCATTGCCCCTTGTCCTGCCACTACAGGTCCTGGTAAAAAGTTTTTCTCTGTCTTTCCTACAAGGTCACTATAAGTATTGAAAGGCCATGATAAGTTCTCCCTGGAGCCTTCTCTTCTCCAGGATGAGCAACTCCAACTCTCTCAGCCTGTCCTCACAGCAGAGGAGCTCCAGCACTCGGATCTTCTCCGTGGCCTCCTCTGAACTCGCGCCAACAGGTCCACATCCTTCTTGTGCTGAGGACCCCAGAGCTCAAGGCAGTACTGCAGGGGAGTCTCATCAGAGCGGAGCAGAGGGGAAGAATCCCCTCCCTCGACCTTCTGGCCACGCTTCTTGTTATGCAGCCCAGGGTATGATTGGCTTTCTGGGCTGCAAGCACACATTGCTGGGTCATGTCCAGCTTTTCATCCACCAGTATCCCCAAGTCCTTCTCCACAGGGCTGCTCTCAATCCCTTCGTCCCTCAGTCTGTATTGATACTGGGGGCTGCCCTGACTCATGTGCAGGTCCTTGTACTTGGCCTTGTTGAACCTCATGAGGGCCACATGGGTCCATGTCTCCAGTAGGCAAGGTCCCTCTGGATGACATCCCTTCCCTCTAGCGAATCAAGTGCACCATTCAGCTTGGTGTCATCTGAAAACTTGCTGAGGGTGCACTCAATCCCACTGTCTGTGTCATTGTTGAAGATACTGAATAGTACAGATCTCTGAGAACTTCACTTGTTGCTGACTTCCACTTGGATGTTGAGCCATTGACTATAACTCTTTGGTCGTGGCCATCCAACCAGTTCTTTATCCAACTAACATTCCATCTGTCAAACCCATGTCTCTCCAATTTAGCCACAAGAATGTTGGGGGGGATTGTATCAAAGGTGTTACAGAAGTCTAGGTAGATGACATCTGTAGCTCTTCCCTTGTTCACTGATGCAGTCACTCCATCCTACAAGACCACCAGATTAGTCAGGCACAATTTACCCTTGGTGGCGCCATCCTAATCCTAACTCAAAATCTCACAACTTGCCAAGATTCATCTGTATTATGGGAAAGTTGGGATTCTCTTAGTTTTCTATGTCTAATTCAGATGCCTGGCATCTGCTAGATATCTGGACTCCCTCTTCAGCTGATGCAAAGCTGTAGACACCTTCAAAAGGTGATACATTCAGAAGGTCATAGATAGCTTTCCTACAATGGTTGAATTGCTACATTGCTCGCATTATAGAGAGTTTGAATGAATAACTTTGATCGGACACTTAACTTTTACATAGTGAAAGTTACACAGGATGAATCTTCACCTATGTTTCACTGAAATGAATGGAAAAATTCCTCAATGACTTTGGGAGGGTAATATTCTGCGTGAAGACCCATCAGTGAGCACCAAGAATATAAAATGCTTAGCGAGATACTGGAATTTTCTAAGCTGGGTCCATTTAAGGACATGTCCATAACATGCAGCGGAGCAGCATTGTACCCACGGCCCTGGACTTCTAAGGGTTGTGTGACTTCCACATGGAAGAGATACTAGCTTTAGTCCTGGAAATAGTATAGCAGTATTGATATGGGGCTGCCCTGTGATAAAAGCATTGCCTCTAAGCAGAGTTGATTAGAACGGGCATGCTGACAGCACTGGACTGCTGCTAGCTCTAGGGCTGCCTCTGGGTATCTCTGTATGCTGCTCCATCACAAATCAGAGGCAGAGCCTCGTGGGGGTTTGTCGTGGATTGCAGAGACAACAGGTAGCGATCCACCACAGTGCTGCCAAGCCTAAGTTTCTGGTGATCAGTCAGGTTCCTAAAAACTCATGGGCACCCTGTCACGAGAGTAATGAAAAAGATACATGCTGGGGTTTTTTGTTCCTTCTCTTCTCTTGAGTGCTATGGTACACTTTGGTCACATTTGTAAGTTCTTATGTTGAAAGTCTGATGAGATGAAACTTCCTTTGCTTAGTGGAAGCTGAGAGTCCCCAAAAGGCATGTGATTCCAGGTGCTGGGGCTCCAGTATGGCACTAAATATCTGCAAGTACTTGGGTCAAGGTGGACCCACATCACAAAGAGAAGAGCTCTAGACCATCTCTACAGACTTTCCTCATTCATAGGCAATGTGGTAGCCAGCTCAGTCCTGATGTGCTGCTTTATCACACCTTTAACACTGTTCCATCTTCTAACCAGTATACGAGTTGTACAGTGATGAAGTTCACCATTGTTTCTCCTTACCTTCGGTCTGAGGCTCGCAGTAAGGCCCGTAGAAAGGCATTTCCTTCATGTAGCCACAGGGCAGGTCAGGTGCTAAGCTGATGGAAGGGCAGGTTATCAAGTCACTGCACACCGCGCTTGGCCAGGCATATCCATTTTCACAAGAACAGCAGCTATTGTTCTCACCACTGGGCAGACAGACTAGTGTCAGACAGACAGAGAAATACTATGAGAATGGTAAATGGGGCTTAACGTATTGCGTGATGTATATTTACCCTGCTGTATCTCTATGCCAGTGATCTCAACTGAATGTTGCGCTTCTTGTGAGTTCATGTGAACAATGCAAACATGATGATCTGATGCCTTGCAAGTCTTACTATACTGATTACAAATGACTAACCAGAAATGAGAACCAGACTGGTACAGGGATGAGTCTGATCAATTGCTTTTAAGTAATGGAATAGGCAAATGAAATTTGATCCTAAAAAGGTGCCTGGCGTATTGGCCAGGGACCTGTGATAGTTTTCAGATTGGATATTTCTATATCGCCTGGGCTGAAAGCAAATGTATAGGCTTTTAAATATTGTAAGAGCATGTAATGGTCAGTCAAAGTCCCAGTGGCTAGTGAGGTGCTGTGTCATTCTGACTGTATCCTGACAGATGCTGCATGAGAGAAGGTAACATTATCACAAAGTGCTTTAAAGACATACAGTCTCTCTAATTTAAAAAAAAAAAAAAACAAAACAAAAAACCACACTTCACTTTTCTCCTCTTAATGTGCCATTGGCAAAATAAGATATTAACAAAGTGATTTTTCACACATTATATGTGACCCTGAAGGCCTTTAAAAGATCCATTTGCGTGTTGTTTTCTTCACTTTTCTCCTCTTAATGTGCCATTGGCAAAATAAGATATTAACAAAGTGATTTTTCACACATTGTATGTGACCCTGAAGGCCTTTAAAAGATTCATTTGGTCGCATGTTGTTTTGAGAACTGGTGAACACTCCTTTCACTGCTTTATGGGCCAGTGATAAGAAGGTACCAAATCTCCTCCTGTACCATTGTAAATGCTTACTGCATTTGTATTTCCTCCATTGTATTAGGTACTTGGATGTGATGTTGCACAACTCATGTAATAAAACCTGTCTGATACCTCGCCTGTAAGAATACATTTAATGAGTTATATCAGGAAGACTGCATCTCATGCAGCTTGTCTCTGTCAGGGTCACAGTACAGCCTCTTACAGCAATTTACGTTCCAAATGCAAGTGGAGGGAAGTAAACAGTCTGGTAACCACTGTCACAGCTTCCTGAAACTTGAAAGTAACTCAGACTGCTTGTTGGTCAAACTGGAGCAAAATCCCTTGGCTCAGGCTTCCTCTGGCTTTGTCCCTTCCTTAGGAAAAGCAAAGCATTCAGGGCCGTTCCTAATGCCAACATTATATAAAGAGGAGTGGAGGGACGCAGATAACAAAACATGCTGTTCCGCATGTTGGGTTGTTCAGTAGGCAGCACAGACAGTTCAGTGTTGCTGATTTCTAAGTGTGATGTATGATAAAACTAGGAGAGATCAAATACTGGCAAAAAAAGCACGTCACCTAGAGTATAAAAGTAAATAACCAACCCACCTGTTGTAATGTTGATATTCGAAACTGTCATTTCTACATTTGAAATATTTGTTGAAACTAGAAGAGTAAGGTTTTTTAAATACTCTTTAATTGGCTCCAAAAAAGATGAATCCATAAGGCTTACTCCAATGTCAACGGTGTACTCCAGAGGGGGAAGGTCAAAAATAAGCACTGAAAGAGAAATAGCGTAAGACTGCAAAGCTGTATGTGAGGGGAAATCACAAACTGATGGCTTCTAGTTTGGCATTTGGGCTCTGTTTTTTAATGGTAGCCTAGTGCGGCATTCTACTTAGGAAATCTTCTTGCTTCCTACTCAGCAGATATTCTGCATGTGTTTTATCTGGTGTTTGTCTGACAAAAAACGTATTTCTTTGGTCTCAGAGCAATGGGAAGTTGATATAAATGGCATAATATATACACAGAAAAGCTGTCTTATCCCTTCCCTCCTTTGACTCAGCAAGTGGATGGGTTGTCAACCATAGACTGAAGCCATAGAGGATTATCTTGTGACCCTTGTCCTGCTAAGAGGCTCGGGTTTTTTTCTACACCATGTATTTCAACTTGCATAGAAGCTCTGCTTATGTATGTCATCATATGGTTGCCATCCAGAAAGACCTGGACAAACTCAAGAAGTGGGCCCATATGAACCTCATGAGGTTCAACAAGGCCAAGTACAAGGTCCTGCACATGAGTTGAGGCAACTCCCAGTATCAGTACAGACTGGGGGACGAAGGGATTGAGAGCAGCCC